ATGATGGGATTCAGAGGCTCCAGGAGATTGGAATTCTGGAGTGAATTTGCCATGTAAGACCTTCTCCTCCACACTGAGAGAGTCCAGAAGATTTGGCCTCCATCAGTACTTTAAGAAACAGTTTTGTGAGGGTGGTACCCATGTCCTGGAAGAGCTCTGCCCTTGCTCTTCTCTGTATGCCAGACCTTACTGTGGGAGCTGCAGTCACTCAACTGGGAAACTTAAATGCAGTGAGTATAATTGGAACCTGGAGTGCACAGGTAAGGTGGCTGTACTTACCATAATGGGCAGCAAAGGAGAAGCAATGAACAGGGTACTTACCTCATCTACTACTCACCCCAAACCAAAGAGAAAGGGCGGGTCTATGGCATTGACTAATTAATCACTGTGTTCCCAGAAGTATATAGACAGTGAATTCTTACTTGATCTGCAGAAACAGAAAATTTCTAGGCCAAATCAATGAAAGTTCATCTTGAGTCATAACAACCAAGAATCATGACCTCTTAACCAATTCCCAGACTTTAGCCAATTTATAGACCCAGAATGAAGCAGGGGCCACATAGCCTTGAGAAAGAACCCTGGCACGTTACCAAAATATTTTACCATTAAATCTTTCTCCCACCCTTTCTCAAAGGGACCTTTTGCCAGGATAACTGTGCATTGAGGAATCATCATCATCATCATCATCATCATACCTTTTGGAGGCTACTGTACACTGGCTTTGAACTGACCTTGATTTCAGGAGATCCAAAACATTATTGTGTTCCTTTAGTCAGATCAGTGGTTTATGGAGGTCAGGCGATCAATGGAGTTTTAGCCAAGCTCTGACCCACCGTGCGTCTTCTGGGTCCCTGAACTTATCCTGTACTTACTTCTCTAGATCCAGAATGCATAATCAGGATAGATAAACTAAGAACTTGGCAGAGTCCCCACAGTGATTCCCTAACCTGTAGAGTGAGGTCTGTTATGGTGGTAAAGGCAAAATGGAAGCCATTAGAGCTGCTTCTACCTGGGAAAATAGTAAGTCAAAAAACAGTATCACGTCCCTGGAGGGATCAGAGATTAATGCCACTATCAAGGACTTGAAATCTGTGAATGCAGTTCCCACCCCATTCCCATTTAACTCTCCTATTTGGCCCGTGCAGAAGACAGATGGATCTTGGAGAATGACAGTTGATTATTGCAAGCTTAATCAGGTGGTGACTCCAATTGCAGCTGTTGTACCAGATGTGGTTTCCTTGCTTGAGCAGATTATCATATCTCCTGGTATCTGGTATGTAGACATTTATCTGGCAAATGCTTTTTTTCTCCATAATCTATCCATAAGACCTACTAGAAGCAATTTGCTTTCAGCTGGCAAGGCCAGCAATATACCTTCACTGACTGACCTCGGGAGCACAGCAGCTTTCCAGCCCTGTGCCATAACTTAGTTTACAGGGATCGCGATCACCTTTCCACAAGGTATCCCGCTGATCAGTACATTGGTGGCATTATGCTATTTGGACCAAGTGAGTGAGAGGTAGGAACCATTCTGGACTTGATAGAGCATTTGTATGTTGGAAGATAGGAAATAAATCCAACTAAAATTCAAGGGCCTTCTTCCTCAGGTAAATTTCTACAAGTCCAGCGTGGTGTGGGGCATTCCAAGATATCCCTTCTAAGATGAAGGATACGTTGTTACATCTGGCCCTTCTTACAACCAAGAAACAAGTGCAACATCTAGTAGGCCTATTTGAATTCTGGAGGCAGCAAATACCTCACTTAGATGTGTTACTCTGGCCGGTCTACCAAGGAACTTGAAAAACTGCGAGTTTTGGGTGGGGCCCAGAACAGGAAAAGACTTTAACAATAGGTCCAGGCTAGTCCTAAGGGAGCTTGCCATTTGACCCGGCAGACCCAGTGATATTTGAGGTGACGGTGGCAGAAAGTGATGCTGTTTGGAACCTTTGGCAGGTCCCCATGGCAGGAGGAGGAGGAGGCCCTTGGGATTTTGCAGCAAGGTCCTGCCACCCTTTGTAGATATCTGCCTTTGAGAAGCAGCTCTTGGCCTGTTACTGGGCCTTCGTGGAAACTGAACACTTGACCCTGGAATACAGAGTTATGCAACCTGAGCTGCCCATCATGGACTGGGTGTTATCTGACTCAGTAAGTGATAAAGTTGGATGTCCACAGCTGCAATCCATCGTCAAATGGAAGTGTACAAATGTAATGGGGCCTGGGTGAGTCCTGAAGGCACAAGTATATTGCATGAAGTGGCCCAAATGCCCATGGTTCCTTCTCCTGCTGCAATGCCTTCTGTCCCCCAGCATGACCTTATGGTCTCATGGGGTATACCATATGATCAGTTGATAGAAGAAGGGAATACTTGATTTACAAATGGATTACAGATGGTTCTGCACGATGTGTGGGTACCACCCAAAAGTGAACAGCTGCAGCATATCATCCCCTATCTGGGACATCCCTGAAGAACAGCAATGAAGGGAAATCTTCTCAGTGGGCAGAACTTTGGGCAGTGCATCTGGTTGTACATTTTGCTTGGAAAGAAAAATGACCAGATGTGTTACTATATACTGGTTCATAAGCTGTGGTTTGGTTCAAAGCAGATGGTTTGGCTTGATGATCAGGAACTTGGACCATGATTGGAAAGTTGGGGACAAAGAGATTTGGGGAAGAGGCAAATAGACAAAGGATATAAAGATATTTGTGTCCCATGTAAATGATCATTTGCCTCATTTGCAGAGGAGGTTGTTAAAAAAGTGGATAGGATGACTTGATCTATGAACAGCAGTCAACCTTTTTCCTCCTGTCATTGCCTAATAGTCTCATGAACAAAGTGACCGTGGTGGCAGGGACGGAGGTTATGCATGGGCTCGGCAACTTCAACTTCCACTCACCAAGGCTGAGCTGGCTATAACCACTGCTGAGTGCCCAGTCTGCCAGCAGCAGAGGCAAACACTCAGCCCCTGATAAGACCTCGTTGCCCCAGGCTGATCAGCCAGAAACCTGGTGGCAGGTTTATGACATTGGACAAGTTCTTACTGGAATAGACACTTTTCTAGGTAAGAATTTGCCTTTCCTGCCAGTTATCCTTCTGCCATGATCTTACAGAATGCCTTATCCACCATCATGCTGTTCTACACAGGAGTGCTTCTGACCAAGGAACTCACTTCACAGGCAAAGAAGTGTGACAATGGGCTGGTGCTAATGGGATTCACTGAACTTCTCATGTTCCCCACCATCCTGAAGCAGCTGGTTTGATAGAATAATGGAAAGTCCTTTTGAAGATGCCGTTACAGTGCCAGTTAGGTGACAGTGCCTTGCAGGGCTAGGGCAAGGTTCTCCAGTGGGCTGCATATTCTTTGAATCAATGTTCAATGTATTGTACTGTTTCCCCAGTAGCCAGGATTCAGCTTCATAAATCAAGGAACAGAAATAGGAATTGTATCTTTCACCATTAACCCAGTGACCCAGTAGCAAAACTTTTGCTTCCTGAACCTGCAACCTTATGCTCTGCTGGCCTAGAAGTCTCAGTTCCAGAGCAGGGATGCTTTTACGAGGAAGCACAACGATGCTTCTGTTGAACTGTATGTTAAGGTGTCCTCCTGGCCACTTTGGGCTCCTCATGTCTCTGAGTCAACAGGCTAAGGTAATTAAGATGTTGGTAGGGGTGACTGATCCAGACCACTGTGGGCTGTTGGGGGCGGGGATTGGACTATTACTCCACCATGGAAGTAAGAAAAGTATGTGGAGTGCAGGTGATCCCTTAGGGTCTCTCAGAATATTACCATGTCCTATTATTAAGGTTAAAGGGAAACTACAACCACACAATCCAGGCAGGATGTTGAATGGCTCCAAACCTTCAGGTACAAAGGTGTGGGTCACCCCTCCCAGTAAAGAACCTGCTAAGGCGCTTGCAGATGGGGTAATAGAAGAAGGCATTTATAAATACCAGCTACAACCGTATGGCCAGTTATAGAAATGAGGATTGTAATGAATATTTTCTCTTTTATTAAGATTTTTTTGCATATATGCACATGCATTAAGCAGATCTTAGTTTTCTTTGTTATTCCTTTATCATAGAATGTAACATTTATTGACTTAATATAAATACTGAAGTGTTATTAAGTCTCCATTGTAGTAGTGAAGTTACGGGATATCAGGAGAAGAGTAAGCATCGCTCAAAACAAAAACAAAAACAAAACTTTGCCTCCACCCCGGAACTGGAATTAGAGCATGGTTTAAGGAGATGTGATAGGCGTCAATCGACAAGGGCAGACTCGTGATGGTGAATCTTGAGTGCAATGTGGTTGGATTGCGAGATGCCTAGGAAATGAGTAAAGTGCACTTCAGGGCATGTCTGTGAGGATGTTTTCAGAGACCATTGGCATGTGGGACAGCATACTGAGGTGGGGATTGGAACCCCCTGAATTTGGTGACCAAAGAGGAAGAAGGAGAAAGCCCACCAGCACGTACACAAACTTGACCATTCCTGAGTGGGTCATCCATGGTCACTGCCATCACCCCCAGACATCAGACTCCATCTTCCCCCACCTTTCAGTAGGGACTCACACCAGGGAGCTTCCAGACCTTCCCCTTCAGACTGGGGCAGCATCGTGGATCCCTCTTGTTCTGAGGTTCCAGCTTCTTGGAGGGAGCAGCTCTTCATCTGGCCTGTAGATGGCCATTGTGGGATCTCCAGCCTTTGATCATGTAAGCCAATCTAATAAATCCCCTCTTTTTTCCCCCCCATATTTTTGTTGGTGCATTATAGTTGTGCATAATGATGGGATTTATTGTTACATCTTTGTACGTGCACACAATATAACAATACGACGTGGATAAGTCCCCGCTTACACATATGCATTCTATTGCTTCTTTTCCTCTAGACGACCCTGACTAATACAGACCCCACAACAACGAACAGGGTCTGTGGGAGATGGGTAAGGGGAATATCTTATTCCTTTTAGTCTTCTCTGACAAACTTCCATAAACTGCGTGGCTTCTCAACAACAAGAATTTATTTCTCACAGATCTGGAGGCTGGAAATCCAAGGTCAGGGGGCCAGCATGATTGGTTCTGGTGAGGGCTTACAGACAGATGGGGTTTTGCGGGTTACAGACTACCAACTTCTCATATTATCCTCATGAAGCAGAAAAGGCGAAGAGGTCTCTGGAGTCCCTTTTATAAGAATAGAAACTCCATTCATGAAGGCTCCACCTCCAAACGTCATCACATTGAGGGTTAGGATTCTATTATATGAATTTGGGAGGATTTAAAACTTCAGTCCATAATGGGGAGCTGGGATGGGGCTAGAAAATTCCCCTCATCCAGAGGCACTGAGTCCTCTGCCCTGTAAACTCTTCCTGGACCTTCCTGTGTTTATTTAGCCAAGTTATCAAAGTGGCCCCCGGGGTGGCAAATGTGACTGAGATTCCCACAATTAGCCTTGTCAGCTTGCTGTGTCAATTTGCTCTAATAGTAGTGCGTACATCTTTGTCTGAGTGGAGCACAGCTTCTCACTCCTGAGCTGCGGAGGGTCGGCATTTTAAGCTGCAAATATTGTTATTCATAATAGGTTGGCAAATATTTTCAGATTAAGCTAAGTGCCAAACTCTGGAATTATGACTGTGAATCCATCAGCATCTGATAATCATTGCTCTTACCTTGTCTTCTGACTGCGAAGGCCCCAGAGCAGGAACTGTCCTTAGGGGCTGGTGGTCTGAGCTTTTCCTTAGGGCAAGAATCTCCTCATCCATTTCCCACCCTGGACAATGTCCAGTCCTCTTCCTCTTGGGCACCTCTAGGGATGGGTAGCTCATCACCTTCCAAGGCAGAATGCATTCTGCTCTGAGCAGTTCTCCTTGTCAGAAGGTGTTTTGGGTTACTTAAATGAACCTGCCAGTCTCAGTGTGCTGGCTTTTAATTATGGCGACAGCATGTGATACAGTAGTCATTCAGCAAACCTTCCAGTTGTCTAGTGGGTTGCTCAAAGCCAAAGATCCAATGGAGAAGGCAGCATGACCCCTGTATGTGAGGAGCTCACCTCCTGGGGAACCAGGAAAGAATACACTCCGCTCTTGCACAAGACAGAAGAAGGGGGACTGCAGTGACTAGGGGCGGGGGGTTCTAAGAAAGAACCAGGGAGAGTTGAGGAGGGTTGTGAAGGATGGACACAACACAAGCTAGTAGCCTGGGCAGGAGGTGAGTGGGATGCAATTGAAGCACCCTCATCATGGACAGAGGGTCATCTTGGACAGAGCATCCAGACAGGTGGAGAAAAGACAGGTGAGACAGATGTGTTGATGGACAGGTTCTCCCAAGGAGACTCTGCCCAGCCTCAGCATCTCCCCACCCTCCTAGCTTCCTGCAGTTTCTCTGGCCATTCCTTATCTAGACCTCTACTGTCTGGAGTGCTTCAGAGTGGGGCCCTCCACAGTAGGACCACAGCCCTGCTTCCCCCCACCACTGCCATCTCCCCTTGCACAAGACCAGGCATGTGGGGGCAGTCCAGTGCCCTTTCCTTCTACCCGCACCCCCGACCATCACCAGAACTGTCTCTCGCTGTCTGCCACGGGGCTCCACAGTGCTCTACTCCTTCTCCATTTCTCCCGTGTCCATCAGCGCAGGCAGCTGTGAAAACACACACCATCAACCGGGGGCATTAACAATGGGCATTTGTTTCTCACCAGTTCTGGGAAACCAGGAAGTCCAAAGTCAGAGTACCAGAATGGTGGGGTTCTGAGGAAGGCCCTCTTCCTGGCTTATGGTACAGCCTTCTTGCTGTGTCCTCACATGGCAGGGAGGGAAGGAGGGTGGGAGAGAGGAAGGTGGGGGAGAGAGAGAGAGAGAGAGAGAGAGACAGAGAGAGAGACTCTGATTATATTCTCTTCTTATAAGGGACAATCATAAGGATCCCACTTTCATGATTTTGCCTAAATCTAGTCTCCTCCTAAAGACCCCACCTCCTAGGACCTCCCTGTCTGTCACTGGGCTTAGGAATTTAATGCATGAGGTTTGTGAGAACACAGACAGCCAGACCCAGCACCTCCTTGCCCCCAGACCCTGCTCTATGCATAACGGGGACTCTGCTTTTAAAAGTTACTCTGATGAATTTTCTGTGGCCCTACCCTCCTTCCTGCCTCCCTAGTGGCTTCTCATAGCTTTTAGGACGAGCAAGTCCTAGTAGGTTCAGAAGGCCCTTCAGGCTCAGACACCCCGACCCCAAGTCCCTGACTCTCCCACAGGGCGGTCAGTCAGCCTCATGGTGTGGGGCTCCCCCTGCAGGCTCAGGAGCTCCGCCCCAGCTAGCTGCCACTTCTCTTGGACCATCCCCCCAGCTTTCCACACCATCCAGGCCCCTTTCCGGGGTCCATCCTTTGGATCCCCAGGGGACAGTCATCCGATCAAACAAACATTCTGGGTTTATAGGCTACGAGGTGCCCCAGGGTGACTGTGCCACCCTGTCCAGGTCACAGCCTTGCCTCTGACTGGGACCATGGAGAACTTCTGCACTTGGATGTAGAAGGACTTGCCCAAATGATGAGATTTTAGGTAGCACATCAGCCGCAACTGAGGACGCTGTGAGTTAAAGCTGATTTCTCTAGCAACTCCTTGCAGTACAGAGCTGCTCTTTGTTATTTTTAAAGTAAAATTTTAAAAAAGGAGATCTTTGTTCCTTAATGAAAATATCAATCAAGAGAGGTGACTTGGGGACTGGGGCCGTAGCTCAGTGGTAGAGCATTTGCCTCGCATGTGTGAGGCCCTGGGTTCGATCCTCAGCACCGCATAAAAATAAATAAATAAAGATATTAGAGAGAGAGAGAGAGAGAGAGAGAGAGAGAGAGAGATGACCTCATGGCAGATTCTGGCCCTTGTCTCAATATACCTAAGCCTTACTGGGGCTCTGGGAAGCAGGCTGGGACCTGGAGCCCCTGAGCCCCAAAGCATAGCAGTTGATACGTGCTGGGCCCAGGCCCTTCCTTCTCTCTTACTCCCCTGCTGGATATCTTACAATCTGAGCCTGAGGGGTGTTGTGTGCACACAGATACCTGAAGGGAGGGAGTAAGGGGGGAAAGACTGGCAGGTGAGAGGTCAAACTATGCCTAGTCAAAGTCTTAGGCCAGCAACTTAACTAGCTGTGTGCCCCTGTGGAGAGTTCTTACCCTCTCTGAGCTTCTGTTTTTGCCTCTGTGGAACAGGGATTAGAAAGGGGAGCCGGTAGAGGTTATCCTGTACGTTATCAAAGGCTATTGAAGAGTAAGCTATGAATTCTTATAAATGAGCCTTGGAAAATGCATCTGTAACAGGTTTTTTTTTTTTTTTTGTTCCCGGTGGGGAACAGAAACCATGGGGCTTGCAGGTCTTGCTAGGGACCTGTGTTGGCTGCATACCATAAACAAAGGGAGAGGGGCTGACAGTCAGCAGGGGAACAGTCAGATGGGTAGAGAGACGCTCCAGAGCCGGGTGTATGGCCCTTTGTAGACTGGAATTTCTCTGACCCTTGTACCCTGGACTGTTTTCAGTTCTCCTGGGGTATGTGGAGAAGCTGTGAGCCATCCTGTTAATCTGGAGGACCTCTTTCTCATCAGGCAAGGATAAAAGGTCTGACCTCTCAGGCGAGGAAGGACACAGGAACAGGGCTCTATTCTGTCCTTGGGCGACTTGGTCCTGTGCAGTAAATATGGGACTCGTGTGTGGGGTGCTCAGCTTGGGAGTCCTGGGCCTGGTGGGATTTCTTTCCTTCCCTGAGTCCAGCAGCATGAGTCATGAGTCATGGGTGGAGACCAGGTGAGCCTGTTGCAAGAGGCAGCTTCGCTTCATTCCAGCCGGAGTGCTTGCTGAACTCAGGACCTGCAGGCCCGCAGGGCAAGAATCTGCAGAACCCTCTAGAGAGTTCAACAAGTGTTCCTGGGAGCCAGGGACTTGCGTGGACATAGCAACAGGGTACACTCTTTGGTCTAAAGTGATGGGAATGTGGAAATTCAACACCAAATGACTGAAGGCAGTACTTGGTAAAATGAAGTAATTTTGCTTTTCACATCAATGAGATAAGAAGTAATTTCAGAGGTAAAGTTCATAACCCAGAGGCAACAAATGGTGGCTATATGATTATTGTCACCAGTTTTGAGCCTTGAACCCATTTTTTAAAAGGCCCCAGCTTTACTTAACACTCATTGTTTTGAACCCTAAAATTTAAAAACAGAAGATCCCTCCAGGAACCAAATAAGAGGATTCTGACTTATTAAAAAACTAGAATCACTATACTGCAGAAACTGCTTGTCTTTTACAAATTTCTTCGTCTTTCTTTCTCGCCTGTCACCCTTCAATAGCAAAACAAGGCAGCAGGCCTCAGAGACGGACTTGATTTCATTAAGAACTGATAAATCTGGTAACTTCTAAGCTTCCTACCAATTCCTGGGAAGAACCCCAGCCTGGGTTCTACCACTGCTCAACCCTGTGGCTCAGGCCTGCTTAGAGAGAGTCCGGGGCCCCTTAATGAAGTGCAGCACAGTTACGCATCACAGGGGAACCAAAAGTCCTTATAGCATGCTCCACGTGGATGTGCACATATAGACACACACACACACACATACACACACACACACAAATCACTCAAGCTTCTTGACACCAAAGACCTTCGGTCCCATCAGCATCTTGATAAGATATGCAGCATGTTATGAGCCTCTATCAATAAAATGATGGCATGAAGATCATTTACCAAATGAGGTCAACAGGGCTGCCAAAGATGCCGGGTTCACAAAGCAGATGCCGGCGATACGGGAACGCTGCTTGGATCCTGTGCGGAGCCTTTGAGCACCTAGATGAGTTGGAACAGATGATAATCAAAGCAAAGAAAATGGGCAAGGACCTTTATGTGATAAGAGTTCAAAGGGGAATTATCTGGATATCCAATAGTTGAAGCCTGAAACATTTTTAGAAAAATGAACATTCTGTGTCCATCCCGTGGAGGACATGTCACATCAGGTTATCAAGAGCTTTTGTCAAGAAGGGTCCTGTCCCCGAGAATAAAATCAACAGTTAATTTCATTCTTTGTCCTAAAGAATTGGAACATACTGGTGTCATTTATTTTGAGTTAATAAAATATTGAAATGAACTGATTTTCAATAGTTTATAGGTTCAGTTTTGAAAATAAGAATCAAGTCGAATTTTTTCTGACTTTAAGTGGATTCTGATTGGGGCCTTTGTCCACTTCTCCGGGAACAACAATGTCCCATAACCACCTTCAAGGAGTTGGATTTATTGCTCATTTTTTCTTTTGCATTTGATAAGTTTGGCTATTTATGGTTTATTAACTAAAATTAATGTATTTTTTCCTAACTTTTAATTCTGAAATTACCTCAAGCTTACAGAAAAGTTACACAAAAAAAGAGTTCTTAAATATATCCTTCACTTGGGATCTCCAAATATTTTCATGTTAACACATTTGTTTTATTACTTTTTCTCTCTTTTGACAGGTAGATAACAATTTTGAACAAATCACAAATAAATTCTCCATTCTTCCTAAATATATCAGTACGACCTTCTCTGATACCACCAGATTCAATTGTCTAAATCAGGAAATGAGTTGCCAGACCTGATGGCACACACCTGTAATCCCAGCAACTGGGGAGGCTGAGACAGGAGGATTGAAAGTTTGAGGCCACCTCCGGAAAATGAAAAGGACTGACGATATGGCTTAGTAAAGTGTCCTGGGGTTCAATCTCTAGAATACCCCTTCCCCTAGAATCAGGAAGTGACCACTGAGATTGTATTGCCATCTAAGGTACTGATTTTCAATTTTCTTCATAAGTTGCTGTTTTGTTCTGTGGGAACCTGCTTCATATGGGCAGCTTGACAGGTGCCCTGGGAAAACTTCAAAGAGGGCATGATTATCTATCCATCTGACCAATCAATCTGTAAAACCTTTTGCCATATTTTGGGGAATGTGCTGGGGCTAGAAACCAGAAAGGAATCCTTCACAGACTCCACCCTCAAATGACTTTCTCAAACTTATGTTCAAAGTGTCACAAAGAAAATAACACCTTCGTGACTTCTCGTTCTTTCCCCCTAAATCCCGCAGTCTGCTT